TATATATATATTATGTCTATATATATATATTATGTCTATATATATATATTATGTCTATATATATATATTATGTCTATATATATATATTATGTCTATATATATATATTATGTCTATATATATATATTATGTCTATATATATATATTATGTCTATATATATATATTATGTCTATATATATATATTATGTCTATATATATATATTATGTCTATATATATATATTATGTCTATATATATATATTATGTCTATATATATATATTATGTCTATATATATATATTATGTCTATATATATATATTATGTCTATATATATATATTATGTCTATATATATATATTATGTCTATATATATATATTATGTTTATATATATGTATATTTTCTTACTGAATAAGCAGTATTTGCACAGGATAAAATTATTTTATATAAATTTTCTTCTTTTATATTAATAAGTTTTTTAATTAAAATATTTGATAATACTTTATATAATTCTTCATTTTCCTTATCATCTTTAATTTTGTAGTATCCATATTTGTTTTTTTTTATTATTCCTTTTTGATAACCCTGAATACAATAAAAAGTTAATTTTGCATTAAAAAAAAAAAAAAAAAAAAAAAATTCTCAATATAAAAAATTTTTTAGTTAGTTTTTAAGTGATATTTTTGTAGATATATTTTTATTATAAAGTTCATAATTTATTATTTTATATTTTCTTTTTACTTGAATTATCTGAAAAACTGTTAAAGAATAGAATAAATCAGCTATATCATTAACATCAAGTATTTGTAAATTATTTTTAAATAACAATAAAAATTTAAACGATTTATTTAATATATGATCTTCTATATTTGCTAGCTATAAAATAAAAAAAAAAAAAAAAAAAAAAAAATAAATAAATAAATACAAAAAATACAAAAAATAATTATATAGATGAGAAAAAAAAAAAAAATTATTATTATATAAATTTTTATAGACAAACTTGTATTGAAGATAAATTGTTAAATATATGAGAGAAATATGTATTATCATTTAAATTAAATTTGATATTTTTTTTATCATTTAGATAATTATTAATATCTTCTGATGAAATATTTTTTTTTTTTTGAATTTCTGTTTTTTCTTCTATTTCTTTGTTTTCTTTTTTTTTTTTTTCCTGTATATTTCCTTCAAATTCAGATTTATTCTTTTCCTTTTTAAATTTTTCATGATTTAAATAATTTAAATAAAAAAGAAATTGTAAATTTGAATCATCAAAATTTTCTTGCTTATTTTTTCTTAATATATATTCCATATTTTCATTTTGTTCTTCATTTATATTTTGAGAAATGTATTTATATATATTTTTTTCATTATCTCTTTCAAAGTTTTTTCTTTTTAAAAATTCAATTTCAGCTAAACTTTTTTTTTTAAAAGGAGCAAACTTAAGAATTTTTAATTCTATAAATAATATTATATATTTAACGGTATCAAATAAATTATAAAAGTTAATATCAGAGGTATATATTTCATTATCATAATGCAATATTAGATAATCACTATTTATATTTTGCTTTTTTAAATTAGTATCTATAGTATTATTAAAAGGTAGAAACGTTTCATTTTTTATAAGTTTGTTATTTTTAACTTTAATAAATGAGTAATCTTTATCCTTTCCTTTGTTCTTATTTTTTATCATTACCTTTTCTTTTTTGTTAGAATTTATCAAGATATAATTATCATAACTTACTTCTACTAAGGAATTTTTCATTAAAATTTCTTTTTCTAGATGTTTATAATTTTGTATAATCAAGTTATAATGATCTAGTTCAATGGTGTTATATGTTTTATAAATATTATAAAAAGTTTTCAATAATAAAATAAAATCATTGTAATTTAATTTATCATTTATAACATTCTTAAATATATTGAAAAAATCAGATGAATAATCTTTATTTATAAAGTTATAATGTTCACTTAACTTAGATAAATAATATAAGCATTCTATATTTTTCAAATGAATATATTTGTCATGGTTACATATATATATTAATAATTTTAATAAATTGATATCAAAATATTTATATTTTAAAAAAGATTTTAATAATATAATAACATTATTATTATTTATTGGTATAAGACTATTATTAGGATTATTTGTAATTTCTTCTGTTATATGTAACTTTTTTTTTAAATCAGAATTATTTGAGTTGATTATTTTCCATTCATTGTTTTGAGTAATTAAATAAATAATATATTTATATATTTTATTTAAATAATAAAAATTGAATATGTTGAAATGCATTAAAAAATTTATAAAATCTGTAATTTTATTTATATCTTTAATTTTATATATATCTAAGTGTACTTCTCTACATATTAATTTACAGAAATAAGGATGATAATAATTTAATTTTCTTATACTATTTGTTAATAATAATACATTATTGATATTATATAAGTCTCTTTTTTTTATTATGATTTCTATAAAATGAGAGAATAAATGAGAACAATTTTTTATATTATTCTTTGAACAAAAATCAAATAATTTCAATTCATCATAATCCTTGATAATTTTAAATATATTATATTCTTGAAAATTATTTTTAAATGCATCATTTGTATTCTTATAAATTTCAAAATAAGGGAAGTTATTATCTAAATATTTTTTTTTTTTTTTGCTATTTACTATTTTATGCTTATAGTACTTATACACATTTTTTTTTTTTTCATCTTCATAACTATTTATAAAATATTTATAAAATTCAATTTTTCTATTATTTAATACTTTATATTTTATTTTATTATTTACAAAAATTATTTTTTTTGCAATTTTTTTATTTTCTTCTTTTATTTCATCAAAAAATAATTTATATTTCTCCATATAAATAAATTTATAATAAAATTAAAGTTAAAAAAAAAAGAAATTCACTAAAAAAGTAGTTACTATTTAAATACTACATAAATGTTTTCTTTTTTTTTTTTTTTTTTTAATTATAAAAATATGTGTAACTTTATAAAAAAATTATAAATAAAAATAAAAAAAATTCATTTATTTTTATTTTTATTTTCATTTTAAATAAAAAAAAAAAAAAAAAAAAAAAAAAAAAAAATTTTTTTTTTNGTAATAAAATTTTTTGTTTTTTTTTTTTTTTTTTTTTTTTTTTTTAAAAAAAAAAAAAAAAAAAAAAAAAAAAAAAAAAAAAAAACAAAAAATTTTATTACTTAAAAAAAAATAATAGTACAACATAAATTACTTTTTAGGAGTGCATTAAATGGTTAAACAAACTTCTAAAAGTTAAAAAACCTTTTACATTATTACTATATGAGAAAAAAAAAAAAAAAATAAAATAAAAATTAAATATAAAAAAATAAAGAAATAAAATAAAGTAAAAATAAAAATAGAAAAAAACAAAAATAAAAACAAACCTTTCATTTAAAACTATAAGAGCATTAATTTTTGAAAAAAATAGTTTTTTTAAAGATTCTTTTATCGTTAGTTCTTTATTATACTTCTAGGCATAATATATAACAAAAGTATAAATATATATATATATATATATAATTATCTCCTTAATATTGAAAATTATATATATAATTATTTACTATCATTTCATTATTTTCTGAAAAATTCAAAACACTTTTACTTATGTTTAAATCATTCTTGTCTAAAGGGAAAAAATTGAAAAAAAAAAAAAAAAAAAAAAAAAAAATTAAACAAATAATAATAAAATGAGAAAAGCATATATAAATTAATATATTTAAATAATACTACTTAACAAATCACTATAGGAATAAGGTATATTATTTTGTTTTTCTTTCATTTCCTTTTCTTTTGTGCGTAAAAGTGATATAAAATACGTAACTTCTTTATCTGGATTTATATTCCACTTTTAAAAAAAGACGAAATTCAAAAAGTTAAATTTTTTTTTTTTTTTTTTTTTGTAAATTTTGAGATTGTTAAAAAAAATATAATATTACTTTTTCTGAGATGGATTTACAGTAAAGTGCGAGAAAATCATTAGCACTGAAGTAGTCAATATATTTTTCTAAAATAATAATAAAATAATAATTTTATATATGAATATTTAATATTATTTTGTAATATTGTTATTTAAATCTTTTTTCTTATACTAGTATCCTTCTTAACTATAGGTATGAAGTATAATTTTTTTTTTTGCATCTTGATTAAAACCTTTGTAAAAATACAAAAGGAAAGAAAAAAAAAAAATAAAAAAAAATTAATACTTTAAAAATGAATTAACAATTTATTTATATTCTTCTAATTTTTTTTTTTTTTTTTTTTTGAAAATACTCTTTACATTAATAAGTGATGAGTTATCATAAGCAGTAGTAGTGTTTTTCTATAAAATTAGAAATTTCATGATATTTCAATTATTCACTTACACTGTTTATCATTTTTTCTTTCTAAATATAGCTTACTTTAATACAGTCATTAATGCTTAAATTTAATTCAGAATATTTTCCTTTTAGCTATATAATAAAAAATTATATTAAAATAAAATATAATAAAAAAATCTTGTAATCATTAGTTACTTATTTCTATGTATTATTAATAATACAACAATATAAATATATAGAGATATATATAAAGATATATAGAGATATATATATAAAGATATATAGAGATATATATAAAGATATATAGAGATATATATAAAGATATATAGAGATATATATATATATAAAGATATATTTTTATATATTTTTTTTTTATTATTTATTAACATTCATTAAAATGTAGTAAATAATATCTTTTTTTTTAATAGCTGATGATATCATGCTTTTTGTTTTGTCATTTATATATATATGTTCATCACTATAAAAAAAAAAAAGAAAAAAAGAAAAATTTTAAGAAAATAAATAATAATAAAGTAAAATATATAAAAGATAAATATTATATTTAAAACTTTTAGTATATTTTGTTATACTTAAAATTTAAAAAATGATCGAAAACTTCTATACATTTTGAATTGCTATCAAATATTTTGAAATCTTTAGAATTTTCAGATATATCTAAAAAAATTTTTAAAAATTTTATATGTAATATTAATTTGAAAAATATATTTATATATAATATACTTAGTATGTCTTTAAAAGTAAATTCAGATGGATCAGAAACTTTTTTTGTGATTGTATTGCAATCATTGCTATTTTTAATATCAGGAAATTTTAAAAAATTATAAAAATAAATAAAAAAATCAAGTAAAACAAAATGATTTACATGGCCTATGATATCTTTTTCATAAATTAGCAGAAAGTATAATTCTAAAAAAAAAAAAAAATAAAAAATAAAATAAAATAATGATGATAAATAGAAATAAAAGACAAAATTAAGAGTATAAAAATTTTATATTAATATCAAAAAAATAAATATAAATTCATATATTTTTGTTAAATATAAGTTATTTGTTTTTAAGTTATAACATTATAGGAAATATTTTTTGTTTTTGTTTTTGTTTTTATTTTATTTTATTTTTTTTTTTTTTTATGAAATTTTCTCTTTTTTCTTATTTTTTAAAATTATTACGATTTTTAATTAGGTTTTTGAGGCCAATATGAAAGGGTAAATTTATATGAACAAGTAAAATCTAATTAAAGAAAAAAAAAAAAAAAAAAAAAG